TCCAAGGCAGGACCTCCACACACTCCACCATTGCCCCACACTCTCCACCCGCTCCTTACACACGCCCTGCCCAACAGAGGTGGACCCACTCTCCAGGCTGCACAGAATCCAGGCAGCTTGCTCAGCAGGCTCACAAGTTGCCCGAGGGCTTGTTGTTGGGTGGGGCCAGTCCCTAGGGTGGGCTGCCTGCCCTGGCTGAGCTGGATTAAATCTGTGCTCTAGTGGGTGGGGCAGACCCTGGGATAGCAGGCCCCAGGGAGAACTCCAATGGTGTCTGCCAGTGTCTGTGTCAGCACTCCCACACCAGGTCACAACAATGGCCGCTGCCAATGTCCCAGTCCCTGGAGAGGTCTCACCTCTCACTGAGATGCACCCAGAGCCTAGCAGGTGAGTCTCTTTTCACCAATGGACCATGTACCTTTCTTTCTGGAGATTTTAGGTTGCTTTCTGAAACAGGTGAATTTGTGTATGGGCCCTTTAAGAGCTGGCTTTAATTTCTTTATGTCCTAGCTTTTCTAGGGGTATTCCCCATTGTTGTTAGTAGCCAGCAAAGCCATTATGACACTTGTCTCAGTTGTGCTGGGTCCAAAAAATGCTTATAGTGGCAACGTTCCCTGGCTCAGGTCCCACACTCCTCCAGGGAAGGCTGCGTACCTTTGGATTGTTCCCAGGCAGCTGTGAGGCACTGCGGCTTGGGAAGGTGGCTTTTGTTCTCTCCAGAAGGGAATTTCTGCCTCTTCCATCTAAGTCAGGATTGTCGTTTGTTGCAGGGGTTCCTCTTCTCCAGTTTTCAGTTCTCTCTCAGGGGTTACTGTTCCAAGATCAGTTGTAAGTCTGCTGTTTCCATGGGAGGAGGTGAGTTCAGAGTCCACCTATGCCGCCTTCTCGTAGGGTCAGCTAAAAGCCTACATTCTTTTTCACTCCTGTCTGCAGATCCTGAGCACAATTCTCTAGATGAGAAGGACAGGCGACAGTCTCTTTATGGTGAAATTAAGGATTCTTTCAGCAGGCTGCCTGGGAGTCAGCGGCATGCCGCCTGCTGGCTGTGCCCTCAGCCCATGCCCAAGAATCCTAAAATTTATATGGAACAACAAAAGACCCCAAATAGCCAAAGGAATCCTGAGAAAAAAGTACAAAGCTGGAGGTATTACACTCCCTGATTTCAAAATATACTACAAAGCTATAGTAATCAAAACACCATGGTACTGGCACAAAAACAGACACACAGATCAATGGAACATAATCAAGAGCCTAGAAATAAACCCCACACATCCATGGACAGCTAATTTTTGACAAGGGAGCCAAGAAATACAATGGAGAAAGGAAAGTCTCTTCAATAAATGGTGTTGGGAAACCTGGACAGCCACACTCAAAAGAATGAAAGTAGACCATTATCATGCACCATACCCAAAAATTAACTCAAAATGGATTAAAGACTTGAATGTAAGACCTGAAGCCATGAAACTTCTAGAAGAAAACATAGGCAGTAAGCTCTTTGACATTGGTGGTAGCATCATATTTTCAAGTATGACGTCTGACCAGGCAAGGGAAACAATAGAAAAAAATGAACAAAATGAAGCTTAAAAATCTTCTGCACAGCAAAGGAAATCATCAACAAAAATGAAAAGACAACTTAACAATTGGGAGAAGATATTTGCAAACCATATATCTGATAAGGAGTTAATCTCCAAAATATATAAAGAACTCATACATCTCAACAACAAAAAAACTGACAACCCAATTAAAAAATGGGCAAAAGATCTGAACAGACATTTCTCCAAAGAAGACATACAAATGGCCAACAGGCACATGAAAAGATGTGCAACATCACTAATTATCAGGGAGATGTAAATCAAAACTACAATGAGATATCATCTCATGCCTGTCAGAATCGCTATAATTAACGAGACAGGAAATAAGAAGTGTTGGAGAGGATGTGGAGAAAAGGGAACTCCCATACACTGATGGTGGGAGTGCAAACTGGTGAAGTCACTATGGAAAACAGTATGGAGATTCCTCAAAAAATTAAGAATAGAACTACCATACGATCCAGCTATTCCACTGCTGGGTATTCATCCAAAGATCATGAAAACGTGAATGCATAAATATATATGCACCCTTATGTTCATGCAGCATTATTCACAATAGCCAAGACGTGGAAGCAACCTAAGTGCCCATCAAGGTATGAATGGATAAAGAAGATGTGGTATATATACACAATGGAATACTACTCAGCCATAAGAAATGATGAAATCCAGCCATTTGTGACAACATGATGGACCTTGAGGGTATTATGCTAGGCAAAATAAGTTAGAGGGTGAAAGTCAAATACCATATAATCTCACTCATACATAGAAGATAAAAACAACAACAAACACATAGGGACCGGCCTGGTGGCATAGTCGTTGAGTTCATGTGCTCTGCTTCAGAGGCCCAGGGTTTGCAGGTTTGGATGCTGGAAGTGGACTTACGTACCGCTTATCAAGCCATGCTGTGGCATGCATCCCACATATAAAGTAGAGGAAGATGAGCACAGATGTTAGCCCAGGGCTGGTCTTCCTCAGCAAAAGAAGAAAAAAACAAAAAATCACATAGAGACAGAGATTGTATTGGTGGTTACCAGAGGGGAAGTGGGGGAGGGAGGAAGGCAAAGGGGGTGATTAGACACAAGTGTATGGTGATGAGTTGTAATCAGTCTTTGGATGGTGAACATGTAATCTACACAGAAACTGAAATACAATGATGCACACCTGAAATTTATATAATGTTATAAACCAATGTTACTGCAATGAAAACAAACAAAACAAACAAATAAATAAATAAATAAAATTTCTCCCTACTTTTTTCAAGCTTTAGAGCACATGCTTTATTTCTAAAATTCTTGGATATCATGAATCCATGCTGTCCTAGGCTCTTCCTCACTTTAGATTTTGACCTTATCCCATCTCAATTTCTATTTACATGTGTATTTGATTAACCCTTTGTGTACATACATTATCTCATTCAATTCTCACAAAACCTCTGTGAGGTAGCTAGGACAGATGCAATCTTAATTTTATACATAAGGAAAACAGAAAGAGAGAGGGTAAATTATTGACAAAATCAGGACCCAAATATATCTTCTGATTCCTGCTATAGTATGTTTTCTGTCAACCACTTTCTTTCCCATTTCCTTCATTATTTTATTTCTCCTTCTCTGGATACTTTCGATCTGGTTTTGTCCTTGAGATTAGATGTCAGATCTACTTGGCACTTTCTCTAGGGAGATTTTTAAATAAAGACAGGATAATGCTTTCTGATTTTCTTCTATTAGTTTTTCTGATAATGTTCAAAATTTCTTTTAGGGTAATTTTTGCTTTTTTATTTGTTTTAGCAATTGCAGTAAGAGCAGGAGCATGGAATTGATGTTTTAGTAAAATGTTTTACAATGGCTGCTTAATTAGTCTTCTGGTCATAAGGATTCTCTTGAATACAACAAAAGTAATCCAAGTTATTTCCCTCTAAGTTACGTCATACTTGTATACAATAAAGTTCATTTGCCTTGTTTCTGTCTACTTGCACAGCCATGAGAAAATTTTCTGTAGATTTTCCTGCCAATTTGGCATTAGACTATATGTGAGTGCTTATTTCACTTCCATAATTATTAAGCTGTTGGAATGTCTAACAAAAGGTAATTTCATTGACCAAGGCAAGCAGTTGTTTTCTCAGAGCAAACAAAATGATACCTAGATACTCTCTGAAAGTCTTGAGTGTGATGAATATGTAAGTCAAGTAAGAAATAGTCCATTTTTTTCCAAAAGATCTTTCACAAAGTGTCACACCAAAAATTAGTAACATTAAATGAAGGAAACAAACAAAAAAAACCCATTTTCTATAGCATGGAGGAATAGCTTGTCATGTCAGACGATGGAATTAAAGATAGAAAACAAATAGTATAAACTGATTTATTTTGAACGATACAATCAAAATAATTTTTTCCATAAATGATTTGACAGAGTTGGTAGAGAAATCTCCAAATTATTATACCATGCTACGCTCTCCTTTTCCTGTTTTTTTGGAATCTTCTATTGTGGACCAACTGCCTCACTTCCTGGAATTCTTTCGAGTGTAGTCTTTTCAGTTTTCATGCAACTGAAATTTGGCTTCTTCTTGTAATCCAGACTTTCTTTCCTGCCTGCCTTAGCTCACTTTAGTCCCTGTTCTTGGAATGTCTTCATCTCCTGTTTAAAGTAAAGCTTCTAAAAGGTCTTCCTGATTTCCCAGCCAACGTCCTCTCCTTCCATTGATTCTATTACACCTGGTAGAATCTTTTGTTACTTTCTTCATCTCTCCTGCTGGAATGCCAGCCTCTCTGGACAGCAATTTGTATTCCCAATACACTTATCATAGTGACTCAAAACATTTTTTGTTTAATCAAGTTAGGGCAGATCACTTAGAAATTCCTCTTTGGATACGCTATCCCCCGGCCACTCCATCCGTTCATTGTCCATCTCGGGCCATTGGCTTTCCCATGTCACTTATCACTTCTTTCAAAACATTTGAGTGTATGCCATATTGAAAATGATTTATGCTATTCAAATACAGAAGGCAAAAGTGGTAAGAGCACATTTCAGGTACTCGGACAAAGATGAGTTGGACGCCGGAGTCAAAAGAAATGGGGCTAACCATCCAGGGAGGTGTGACAAAGTAACATCAATATTTCGTTAAAATATGACGGCCCGCTGGCTCACCTAGATTTTATTTAGGTTTCTGAATCTCGGTCAGGTGGGCTAACCGAAAAGACTCAGAGGTGGTTACGTGACCACACGTCATAATCATGTTCCAACTCCTTGAATATATTTTGGGACCCTCTGCTGCCGGCGCCAGGCAGAGAATTGCCCCTCCCCCCAAACCTAGAGTGCGCGCCCCGCCCCCGGCAACGCCGCACTGCATGCTGGGAGTCGTAGTCCCAGCTGGCAGCTGCCCGGAGGGACGGAAGGGCACCGGAGCCCAGGCCGCCGCTTCACTACTAGAGGTCGCGTTCTTCCGCTGTTCTTTTTCATTCTATCGGTCGGAGTCTTGCGTGAGCCCGGCTGGGTTTGTCCGTGTCACCGTTTCTCTTCTGGGTTTCAATAAAGTTTTTTTCTTCCTTCCCTTGTACGGAGCTCAAGATGGCGGCCTCCTGGTCGCCCTTGGTTACCCTGCGCTTAGTGCAGAGCCGGCTGAGACGGAGATGTGTTGGGTGCGGGGCGAGGGCCGCTGCACTCGCTCTTCCGGCCACCGTCCCTGGAAACCCCCTTTGGAAAGGTCAGTGACTGTGCCATGAGTAGGCCGAGCCGACTGAATATGCCCCGGGAAGCCTCGGGTCAGTCACCCTCCCTCCTGTATCTCCCCCAGCTGCCTCCTGGTTTCACGGTTTTTGGAGCTAAGGGCCCGTCGAGAGGAGTTTCAGCCTCTCTTGCCCTTCTGTTACTGTCTGCCCATGAGAGAGCCCTGCACACTGAGAGAGCTGGCCCACAGTGACTTTTCATTTTGAGGGTCAGAGGTCGGCCCCAGAGTTGGTTCCTTCCCAGTGTAGAGTTGAGACCTGGTGAGCCCAGGTGTGGGAGTGCCTGGCTTAAAGGGATGCAAGTGTGGGGTTGGGGCCTGGGCGCCCTTTCACCCTGCGCCTTCCCAAGCTCTCCCGGGCTGGTGACCGGGCACTGGATCTAATAGCCAAGCCTGGGACCTCTGCAGGGCCCCCGGGGTTTTGGGATTCTGGGAACGCAAGTATACAAGCATTTTCAGATTGAGGGATCGATTCTTCATGTTCTTTTCAAGTCACTACAGGCTTCAGTGGGATTTTTTTTTTTAATCACTGGGCTTGCTTCATTCATTCATTCAGATTGTTACGTGTTCATCAATGAATGAATCATATTATATTTTGAGTAACCAAGCCCACAGGAGTGCTAATCTTATTCATATACTCCCACTACACTGCGGGCTACTCAAAGGCAAAGACCAGGTGTCATTGTTTCCTTAGCGCTTAGCACATTGTTGTTTGATTGGCAGATGCGTTTTTTTGAAGGAATGAATGACGTTATTCTTATTGTCTCCCCCATAGTTATGCTTTCCTTTTTCTCATCTCCAAGCACTCCCTCTTATATATCTTAATAAGTTGATTCTCATTGGCTAATTTAGCTAAAACTCTGTAAGTCTTTGGTTATTATCATCAACAGAGTTGAAATTAATACTAGCACTGTGATTAAGTCACCTTAGATTTTTCTGCAAAGTTTAGCATAAGTCACTTATTGTATAATGGAATATTTTGGTAACATAAGGTTTGGATCATAATAACTTTATTTTTTACTTTTGGAATAGGCAATAAAAGCAAATGATACAAAATTCAAAAGGTACGAAAGGAATATGGTAAAATGTGAAGACTCTTCCCCCTCTATCCCTTAGCCACTTGGTTTTCCTCCACAGAGGCAACCTCTATGACTAGTTTCTCATGTATTCTTCCAGAGACATTCTGTGGGTGTACAAACATATATGTGTATAAATATCTGTATTAAAAAAAAATAGAAGTGGTAACATACTATACACATTGTTCTTTTCCTTTCTTTCTTTTCATTTAGTATATCTTGGAGCTCATTCCATATTAATACGTATAGAACTGCCTCATGTCTTAAATGGTTAAAATAGAATTCCATTCTATGCCTGTACCGTAATTTATGAAAATAATATTTAAGGAGCATCATCATAATAACATATAAGATTTACCGAATGCTTATTCTGTGTCATGCACTATGCTAAGTGCTTTCTATATACATTATCTCATTTAATTTTTGTATCCTCATTTTGAGGATAATGAATCCAAGGTTGCAGGCTAGTTAAGTGGCAGAACTTGTGGGTTCAAGTAAAGGCTATCCTTGGACTTACATCTGACCCTAAAGGCTATGCTGTTAACCTGTCCTCATACTGCTTCTCATTCTCAAAATTTAGCCAGTTTTTGGTGTGGAGATTTGATGAAAATGCAGTTAGGGTAGAGGTGGATTTAATTGTAACTAAAGATGCTCCCTCCCCCTCTTTAAATAAAAGGAAAATTTAAGTTGAAATGTTATTCAGCATTTAGAGTCTGATTTAAAAATTTGTTTTGTATTCCTTTCTTGACTTTTTTTTTTTTGGTTTTTTACTGTCTACGTTTATATTTTATCTCTATTTTTTCATCTTTGCAAGTCTACTCTTTACTACAGTGTAATGTGATGGAAGCATTGGCTTAATGTTAAACAAAAGAAGGAAATAGGGAAAGGAAAGGAATAAGGGGAAAGGGAGAGCAGGTTCTTACTTTGTTTTTATGTCTCATCTAAGCTTTAATGCCAGCCCTGGCTCCAAGACATTTTGGAAACTGGAACTATGAAAACTTTAGGGGTCCTAAAATGCTGTTCATCCAAATCACCTACCTGATTGCCTAACTTTAAATTCCTTAGGAAATAGAACATTGTGAGTTCTATTTGGGATGCATGTATTTAGATTAGTTAGATTATTAAAAACTTGAAAGTGAAATTTGGTTTCTTAGGTAATTTAAGTATATATGTTCAATTTTGATTTCACTGCCTGTTTTCTTTTAGGTCTAAGTGTGTCTTCATTTAATGTAACAGTTATTCAATCTCCAGATAGTTAAGGGGAAGCATTTTATTAGAAATCAGAGTGGCTGTGGCGTGGGTAGAAAATGCCTCAAAACTGGTAATTCAGTTGAAGCCTTGTATTAAGTGTGAGGGGGAGAAAAAGTGAATGAAATTGGGTCCCAGTCCTTGAATAGCTCACAGTCTTGGAAGGGAGCTGAAATTACAGTAGCTAACATTTATTGAGCCCTTTCTATGTTCCAGGCAGTCTACTAGCAGTTTCTTTCTTCATAGTTTAATCTTCATAAAAACCCTATAAAATTGTTATCTCTATTTTATAGATGAATAAACAAGCATGACCACCTAACTGGGATTTGAACCTAGGTATTTTTGCTCCAGAACCACAAATGTAACCAACTGTGTTCTACTAGCTCCTTAACATAACAATGGACATTAATAACCCATCATCTAGGCCCATCTTGAAGTGTTGGGTAGGACTCCAGAGGAGAAAGCAGCTCTGCTTAGGGAGAGGAGGATTTTTTTTAGCAGAAGTGTAGAAGTGAGCTGTACATGGCCTTTATTGGTTTATGGTCCCTCAGGGAGAGTAGCTAGAGATGAAGCTGGGAAGGTGGCCTGGGATCTGGTTAAAGGAGGCCTGTATAGTGTACAAAGATGTATAGGTTCAGTGGGACAATGTTGTAGGTTTCTTAAGAAGAGAAGTGATGGGAGGCCAACCCCATGGCCTAGTGATTAAGTTTGGTGTGCTTTGCTTTGGTGGCCTGGGTTTGGTTCCTGGCTGTGGACCTACACCACTCATCCGTGGCCATGCTGTGGTGGAGACCCACATACAAAATAGAGGAAGATTGGCATGGATTTTAGCTCAGGATGAATCTTCCTCAGCAAAAAAATAAAAATAAAATAAAATAAAATATGGGCAGAGAAATCAGGGCAATTTAAGCATCAAAAAGAATAATGATATGCAATTATAAAATATTGAAAAGTAAAAATTCATGAGTCCAATGTGAGACACATACACACAAAGAAGCGGAAAAAAAAAAAAAGAAAGAAGTGATCAGATCTGTTTTAGCATGATTATTCTTATTGCTGCCTGAAAAACAGATCAGGAATGCCTGGATGGGGGAATATTGGAAGCTGGGAGTTTATTTAGAAGGAAGTTGTAGTTTAGGGAGAGTAGTTTACAGCCTGAATTACTGCTGTGGTGGAGGTGGAGAGCAGGGCTGCAAGGGAGGGATTTCAAAGACACTTCTTTGGTAGAATTGACAGGCTTTGGGGGAGACAAGGGGAGAAGAGTTAAGATCAATTTAGATTTCCTAGTTGGGGTAATTTAATGGTATCACCATCCATCTATCAAGGGAAACAAAACAAACATGCAAAAGGGCCAGAGGCATTTTACAGGAGATTCCATTTTGGACTTGTTAAATTTGAAGTGTTTATGACGGTTATGGTAAATGAGTCTGATTAGTTGTAGGAAATATGGGGATCTGAGACTGAGAAAGGAAATATGAGGTGTTGAGAGCCATGAGAATGGAAGAACTAGCCCGGGAGTATTTGTAGAGTGAAAAGGAGAAAAGGCTGATGGGGATTTTCAATTTTCCTTGAGGGAAATTGATATTTATGAGCAGAAGAACCTGACTTTGTTGGAGAGCAGTTAGAGAGGTCATAGGAAAACTAGGAGAGAAGCCAAGGAAGAGAATATTTCTAGGTTTTCTAAAACTGAAAATTAGTGTATCTCAAAATTCTATTTTGTTTAAGCTAGACTTAGAAACTGTTTATTTCATAGAGGCAAGGTAATATGAGAGTCACATCTTGTGATTTCTTATTATTATAGTGTCCTTCTGTATCTCAATGTTATGTTTTTAGTTGTCTCTTACATGATGACTCATATTTGCCTTTAGCTCCACAATCTCCTTTATTACATGTGCATGGGAGATCTTGATTAAGTACTAATATGAGTAGAACTAACCCATCTCAGCCATATGAATTGGTATAATTTATTGGTAGTACAGATTAGTGTTTAAGAAAATGGGCTTTGGACTTTTATTACCCAATTAGATGAATACCCTTATGTGAAACTTTGTGTTTCTTGGATTTCCATTAACATTATACTAGAAAAGAATATTCTTACCTACTCTTGAGGCTGATTAACTTCATGTTAATGGTTTCTTTCAATTAAATTTTTTTAAAGCATAGCACAGCTTATTACATAGATATAGCTAGTGCCCTAGATGTAGTTCTGGGATGGAGAGAGGGGCAGATGAAATAGGGTTGATCCAAGAGTAGAAGTGATAGAAAGGAACCTCAGAGGTCCAGAAATGGATTATTGATCTGTAGATTAGCACTGCCTTATACCTTAAGTGCTTCATTCTCTTTAAGTAAATGATGGAATGTTTAAATGGGTATAACTATTTTTTTGGATTTGTCTTTTCACAAAAAGTACCACAGAAATAATAGGTGTCAAGGGTCTAGAAATGGGTAGTTCAGCCTTAGGCCAGTGTAATAATATGCTCTATAAATTCTCTGATAAAAGGTTGTCTAGCCTCTGCTTGAATATACCTAACTAGATCACTTATATATTTCACTGGTTAAGATTTGTTCTGGGCCGGCCCCGTGGCTTAGCGGTTAAGTGCGCGGGCTCCGCTGCTGGCGGCCTGGGTTCAGATCCCGGGCACGCACCAACGCACC